GGGAACGAATCCATTTCCAAGGCCACTCAGGTTGTCGGCAGAAATTATCTCCTTGTGACTGTATGAGGGTGCCGGCATTTTTGCTGGCTGTTGCCTGTATGGAAGCTGCCTGTAGTTCCTTGAAAGTTGCAGGCCTTAGTGTGGCTTCTTACTTGACTGAGCTTGCAACACGAGTCTCTCATCTCAAAGAGAACCAACCCTCTTTTAAGGATCTTCACCCGATTAAGTCAGGCTTTCCCAGGAAAACATTCCTTTTGATTAATTCAAAATCAATTGATTTGGGAACCATATTCATCTTCAAAATCCCTTCATCTTTGTCAATTTCTATTGGCCAGAAGGAATTCACAGGCCTCAGACACACTCAAGGGAAAGTTATCTTTCAAGACTTAAATACCCAAGGCAGGAATTATAGGGAACCTATCTTAGAATACTTCCTACTATACTGAGTCACCATTTTCCCCAGATATATGTCTTATTCTATGTACTTTATATATGTCTTATTCTATGTATTTTATTTCATATGTCTAAAACTAAAATTTAAATTTAATCTTAAATTGTTGAATTTCTTTTAGGGGAATAGATAAGATTTCTGTTGTTGCTTAGTCGCTAAGTCATGTCCAACTCTTCACTGTATTGGACTGTATTGTATGTAGCCCACCACACTCCTTTGTTCATGGGATTTCCCAGGCAAGAATACTGGAGTAGATTGCCATTTCCTTCTCCAGGGGATCTTCCTGACCCAGGTATTGAACCCACGTCTCTTGTATTCCTGCACTGGCAGGTGGATTCTTCACCACTAAGCCATCTGGGAAACCACCAGAGATAAGATTCTTTAGTGGGTGGTGGAATTTCTACCATGTAATTTTCAAGATTTTATTCAAATTTCTAAAATAATACCAGCTATTAAAAAGAACTCCATCAAACTTCATGAAATATTTATGAACTGAGTATTAACTTTATTCTTTAATCCTCTGACAGTTTCATCATACTACTTATTTTTCAGCCTAAATTTTAAGTGCCTTGATTATACTCTGCAGAAAACACACATTGCTTCCAGGTCATAAAAACCAAACACTCAGAGAATGATTCATCTCTGATGCACATTAATGTCGAAAAAGCAGTCCCTCTGGTGGGCCTTGTTTCTTTTCCGCTAGTGATGTCATCAGGTCAGTAACTTCATTCTTTCAGGTATTCATTTTGAGATTCTTAAGAAAAATGGAAGACTAGAATAAGATATGAAAATCAGTAAAACTTGTTTCTATGAATTTGGCTACCCAAAGAAAGATGATAAATACCTTTTAAGTTAGTTCATCTTCCCTTTTCGGAGTATACTTCAAGAAATTCAACATTACAAGCTGAAAACAGCTGTGGGCATGTTTGCACCCAAGGCCACTACTTCTCTTTTCAAAATACCTAATAACTATATTGGACTTCGCTGGTGGCACAGATGGTAAAGAATCTGCTCATAATGCAGGAGACCCAGGTTCAATCCCTGGGTCAGGAAGATCCCCTGAAGAAGGGAATGGCAATGCACTCCACTATTCTTGTCTGGATAAATAATTCCATGGCTAAAGGAGCCTGATGAACTACAGTCCATGGGGTCTGAAAGAGTCAGACACGACTAAGCGACTAACACACACAATAACAATATGAAGGAAAATGTTATAATGATCCCTATTTTATTTCACAAAATGGAAGCAATTGACAAGGGCAGAGTGGATCTCTTCTATTTCCCGAATTTCTTACTAATCTGGATTACTATGGAATCTATGAATTATCAATAAACTGTTTATTTAAAACCAGTTTCCATGTGATCTGTGTGGATCACTAGATGACTCTCTTTGTGAAAGTGGTAGAAATTACCTCTGGCTGCAAGTCAGCTGGCACTAGTAAGAATTTTAGGCAAACTATTCAGGCAGACATCTCTGCTCTTCCCAGTACAGATCTGCCAGTAGGAAGGGTATAGGAAGGTACAGTGTTCATTAAGAAAAGAGCCTTTCAAACATCCCTGGACTCTAGTCTCAATTGAGCTGACTGCAAATCTGCCTGTTTTAACGTTGCAAAAGAACAAATTTTGCAAGAAAAAGCAAACAATTTAAACAGCAGGTGGCTGAAGCATAGCCTTCAGAAAGCTGTTAAGAACCATTTTTGTCTGTGAAATAAAACATGGTTGCGAGCAATGTTATTTGCACTTATTGATTCAGTGAAAGAAGTCACCTTATGTTTAATTCAAACTGCCATCCTGATATGGACAGGCTTAAAACAATCATGTTTTACAAATCCATTTGTTTAAATGATTCTTTTGTTGGCTGTTCACACCATGCCCTGGGTTGTTACATTATCACTCACTGCAAGTGCTATTTAAGGAAGTGAGGAACCAGTCACACACATTGCTTTAAGCTATAGAGGTTTGGCTTAGTTAAAAAAGACAGACCAAGAGTAGGTGACCATTAATTTCAAGCAGCAGCTTTGTCATTTCTTCAGGCTTCTTCAACAGTTAGTTTTCCTTTCTGTTCCCACTGCTGAGACCAGTGCGCCCGTGTTCATAATTTTGATAGCCAGGTCTTTCTTTTCCCTTTTGGAATTCAGATGCACCACAAAATGGCACAAAATCTTTTATCTAAGTGTTCTGTCGATGTTGGAGATCACAGTGCTTTTCCACAACTCTGTTTCCACACTTTAGAAGTTAAGGTCCTGCCCTAAATGTGGCAGAAATGCTTGTCAAAAGTTGCCAAGAAGTTTCAGACTGTAATGTTCTGCCTTTCTGCAACCCAATTATGCTTACCATGTAAATTAGAAAATATCCTTGAAATTGCAAAGAAATTGCAGCAAATTAAGTTTTTGCCCATTTTGGAGAAGTCATTCTGATCTTGGTTGCCTCCATGGAAGCTTTCTCGATGGCATTTGTGAAGTGCTACAAGAGAAAGCTGAGAAAAAGGTTAAATAAACTCCCTAAGATTTTAAAAATTAGTAAGTAAAAAAGTGAACCTTGTTCTGAAGGGGTTTAAAACTCTAGTTGGAGTAAATGGCTGATACATGTGCATGGAATTAGAAACCTCAGATACAGGCCGGCCATTAAGAGCCTGAAGACTCTAATGTACAGTCCCAGAGGTGGCTGCCCAGGGCAGTACGTTAGGGAAGAGACTGCACTGTACAGATAAACTGGGTGGCCGCTGGGTACAGAACTCAAATTGAAGAGGAAGCCACAGCTATCCAGTACAGGGCTTACTTGTTTGATTTTCCTCCTTTAAAAAAAAAAAAAAAGAAAAAAAATCCTTTTATTTTCCCTCTTGATAGGAAAAAGACATCACTCCCCTGGAGGCCATTCTACCCCAGACAAGTCACATGCATACAGCTTTTCATGAAACAGAAAAGTGGCTTTAGTGTTTCACAAGTCCAAGTTTATATCCTAAATCTTCCGCTTCTTTCACTACATATCCTTGAGTAGTGGGCAAGCTATAGGAATCTCACATTCTTAATCTATGCAGCCTGAGGTAACACCTCCCTCACAGATTTGCTGGATGGAAATAAATGAAATTACCCAGTCACCCAGCAGAATGCCTCCTTCATTGGGTTTATTTTTTTATTCCTGAGTATATAAAGCTGAAGACCCCAAGATCATGGGGATTGCACCTTCATAAGACCCTAGAGCCTGAGCTCCCATGACACGCTCCATAGCATGCATCTCCACTTGCCTACAAATCATTCCTTTGTCTAGAGTTGTAAGCGCTAACCGTGTCCTTCAAAAAATAGATGGTCTTTCACACAGTGACATTAGCAACTTGGCCAAATAAGACCCCTCACTCACACCCTCAACAGCAATTTGGCAGTTCTCCGTGGACAAAAGAGACCTTCTGGGATTGAGCACCAAGGGACTCGGAGGAAGCTTGTCCAGCAGTGTTGGGTAACGGGCGCAGACCTTGGGCCCAGCCGTGGGCCCTGGAGTAGCTTCAAACCAGCTCCAGCCCCTCTTGGCTGCGTCTGGGTGCCCCTGGAGAACACTGCCCCGGGAAGTCACTGGTGGATGAGAGAGCCTTTATAGAAATCCAGATATCTACCTGAGAAGTTTTAGCACACCGCTGGAGCAAAAAAAAGAAAAAAAGAAAAAAAATTGAGTTTGGACAATGGAGAGGACAGTGGAACAGACTTATTTACCCATGCACCCCTCCCTCAAGACAGCACAGCTCAGCTCCAAGGACCATCTGGACCTGCGATTCTCTTGCAGGGAAAGTGAGCGCAGGGCGGGGAGCCCAGCCACCCAGCTGCGCAGGAAGCCGCTGCAGAGGCCCGCCCCGCTCTCCCTGATGCTGAGTCCTGAGCTGCATGACTGGGGGTCAGGAAGAGGCTGGAGAACTCTAGACAGGACTCTCAGGAGGCCTTTAAAGGGAGGCTGATCCTACTAACTGCATCAAGGATTCCACTGAGCAGCTCCCTTATGAGCCCTGGGGAAGTCTCCCCTAGGGAGCCTCCCAAATGGCCGAAGACACTCCCAGGGCTCTGCGTGCCCACCCGGCCCCACACTGCCCCGAGCCGGCTGGCTCCCCGCTGACACCCCTGAGGGCAGGAGAGCACGCTTTGGACATGACGAGCTGTTGGTCACTCAGTCGTCTCCAGCTCCGTGAGACCCCGTGGACCGCAGCGCGCCAGGCCCCCCTGACCTTCACCATCTCCCTGAGTTTGCTCAGACTCATGTCCACTGAGTCGGTGATGCCATCCGACCGTCTCATCCTCGGTCACCCCCTCTTCTCCTCCTGCCCTCAATCTTTCCCAGCATCAGGCTCTTCTGCAGTGAGTGGGCTCCTCGCATCAGGTGGCCACACTGTTGGGGCTTCACATCAGTCCTTCCAATGAATATTCAGGGTTGATTTCCTTCAGGACTGATTGGTTTGATCTCCTTGCTATCCAAGGGATTCTCAGGAGTCTTCCCCCAGCACCACAGTTCAAAAGCATCAGTTCCTCACCTCTCAGCCTTCCTTATAGTCTGACTGTCACATTGGTACCTGCGTACTGGGAAAACCACGGTTTCGACTGTACGGACTCTCCACCCCGCTCCCCTCAGCGGCCTCCCTGCCGGCCGGCCGCTCACTGTCTCCCCGGGCACTGGGCCCGCCTGCACCCACGCAGGCAGCAAAGCTCAGGACACGCTGCAGACCTTGGGGGACGGGGATTGGAGCTCTGTAAAGAATGGGTGTTAGTCAAGAAGGTGGAGCAGAAGGACGTGTTCTCATCTTTTCCTGTGAGAACACCAAAACTGCAACTAGCTGCTGAACAACCACCCACGGGAGGATGTCGGAACCCACCACCACCACCAACAAAAAATACCCCATGTCCAGGGACAAAGGAGAAGCCAGAACAAGATGGTAAGAGTTAAAATCAAACCCCATACCCAGCAGGGGACTAGTAAATGTGCGCGAAAAGCTGGCTGAGTCTGTGGGCCAGAGACGGCCCACAGACTTCAGCTTTGGCTCTGGCCTCAGGAAAGCAAACGGGAGGTTGTGGGCACATGGCTGGGGTGTTGCAGAATAGAGAGAAGGCACCCGGCTCTCTGCAGAAGAAGGAGTGAGAAGCGAGGACCAGGCCAAGGACCAGACCCAAGGAGGTCTGAGAAAGCCTCAGAATCTCCAGCAGAGCTGCAGGAAGGGACTTCTCTCCAGAAATTAAATCAGTAACAATTAGAGGAGGTGACCTACCTATTATCTGAAGACAGCTACAGAGACTTCAAGACTTCAAAGAAGAAGATTCTACCCAGCAAGAGAAACAGTCAACGAAATGAAAAAGCAAGTTACAAAATGGGAGAAAATATTTGTGAATCATGTGTCTGATAAGGGGTTAATATCATATATATATATATATCCCATAAAACTAAATAACCCAAAACCAAGCAATCTGATTAAAAATGAGGAGAGGAACTGAACAGATACATTTCCAAAGAAGACATACAAATGGTCAATAGATACATGAAAACATGCTCAACATCACTAATCAGGAAAATGCAAGTTAAAACCACAGTGAAAGTTGAAACCACAATAGCTCACATTTCTTAGAAAGGCTATTATGCTAGAAGCAAAAGATGATAAATGCTGGGGTGGATGCAGAGAAAAGGGAACCCTTGTGCACAATTGGTGGGAATGTAGATTAGTATAGCAACTATGGAAAGCAGTATTGAGGTTCCTTGAAAAATTAAAGTAGAGTCACTATATGATCCCAAAATATCAGAGTATATATCCTGGGTGTATATCCAAAGGAAATGAAATCAGGATCTGCAGTCTAGGTTCATCAGAGCAATTTTCGAAATAGACAAGATACAGAAATAACCCAAGTGCTTTTCTATAAATGAGTGAATAAAGACGTGGTATATATATGTAGAGGCAGACTCTATGAGGAAGAAGTAACCCCTGTCATTTGTGTCATTATGGACTTCAAGAGCACTATGATAAGTGAAACAAGGGGGAAAAACTACTGAATGGTATCACCTATATGTGGCATCTGAACAACCGAATTCACAAAACAGAGCAGAATGGTAGTTTCCAAGGAGATGGAAACTAGGAGATGGTGGAAATTGGAATATGTTGGTCAAAGGGCACAGACTTATAGTTACGAAATGAGTAAGTTCTGGGGACTATTGTACAGCATGATGACTATAGTTAATAAGGCTGTACTATATACTTGAAAGTGGCTAAGAGAGTAGATGGTAAATGTTATCATCACAAAAAACAAATGGCAATTATGTCAGGGGATTGAGATGTTAACTAACAGTATTGTGATGATCATTTCACAATATATGTGTCTCAAATATCATGTTTTTTTAACTTAAACTTACAATATTATACAGGTTTTCGCCACTATCCAAAAGTAGAGCATTCCTGTGAAATGTTTCAAAAGCCAAAATCGCATAAAGCAAAGAAGCAATCAGTTACCCTAGGACACATTTTGCTAACGGATGCACAGAATATATCAAGATGAAACACAGATGCTCACAGACAGTCCAAAGCAATGGAGGCTTGATGTTAAGATGCTGAGATGTCGAGTGTGGTTCGAGGGGAAGGAGCTTGGCGGTGCTGCTCTTAAGGCTCATGGTGCATGCTGCCTCTATAACGGTTTCTTGCAAAACAAATACTATTTTTCATAAAAGTAAAAATGCTCTTTGAATTTCTTTCAGTTAGTGAAAACAGGTAGGTCTTTTATAAAAGCAAAGTGGCAGAAAGCAGACTTTCACAAAGCAAAGGAAGTCTGTATGTCAATTGTATCTCAATATAACTGGAAAAAGATAAATGCACTACTACACATAAATGCAAAAAGGAACTGTTTGAGGCAAAATCATTTTTGCCTCAAAATCAATAGTTGTTAAGTCAACTTCTAAGATCAGAAAATAAAGTTTAGAAAATAGAGCCAATATGGACACTGGGCTTGCTTCTCTGTAACTCTGTTGAAAAAAATGCAATGATTACCAAAACCTATCATCTCCCCCAAGAGATTTCTACCATCTATTTTTGTAACATTTACAGCACTCCATTATATGACAGTGAAAGTCGCTCAGTTGTGTCTGAGTCTTTGTGAACCCATGGACTCTACAGTCCATGGGATTCTCCAGGCCAGAATACTGGAGTGGGTTGCCATTCCCTTCTCCAGGGGATCTTCCCAACCCAGGGGTCGAACCCAGGTCTCCTGTGTTGCAGGCGGATCCTTTACCATCTGAGCCACCAGGGAATTATATGAAAAGTAAATGTGCTGCAAAATAATTTTGGGTGTTCTTTGATCAAAAAGTGTAGATAGGTCTGTGCATGTTTTTGAGGATTGTTATTTCCATTGTGGATGGTGACTGCAGTCATGAAATTAAATGGTGCTTGCTCCTTGGAAGAAAAGCAATGACAAACCTAGACAGTATATTGAAAAGCAGAGACATTACTTTGCCTATAAAGGTCTGTATAGTCAAAGCTATGGTTTTTCCAGTGGTCATGCATGGATGTGAGAGCTGGACAATAAAAAAGGCTGAGCACCGAATAATGTGGGTGCCTTTGAACTGTGGGTGCTGAAGAAGACTCTTGAGAGTCCCTTGGACCACAAGGAGGTCCAACCAGTCCATCCTAAAGGAAATCACCCCTGAATATTCATTGGAAGGACTGATGCTGAAGCTGAAACTCCAGCACTTTGGCTACCTGATGCGAAGAGCCAACTCACTGGAAAAAATGAGAAGAGTGACAGAGGATGAGATAGTTGGATGGCATCACCACCTCAATGAACATGAGTTTGAGCAAACTCCGAGAGATGAAGGACAGTGAAGCCTGGTGTGCTGCAGTCCATGGGGTTACAAAGAGTCAGACGTGACTGAGCAACTGAAAACAAATTTCCATGGTAATAATTTCCTGTTAATTGAATGAAAAAGTAATTATAATTTTGTGAATATATGAGAAAATAGATGAACTGCCTTTAGGGAAAAAATTTACTTCTTGATTCACATGAAACAATCTGTAAATTTTGCCCCCATATTCAACCAGATTTATATGTTGTTCACCATGTTTGCCATATTAAAAATCATCCTCACAAAACTTTTCCTAGCTTTTCTGGCATAAAGTTATTATTCTTTTTTAATTTATTTATTTGTTTTTTTGGTTACACTGTGTGGCTCATAGGATCTTAATTCACTGACCAGGAATCAGATCCATGCCATCGGCAGCTAAAGCGCTTGAGTCCCAACCGCTGGACCACCAGGGGAGTCCAGTGAAATTTTAGACGCATCAGCCCAATACTCCAGCTTTTCTTCAGATCGAATAAAAAACTCATCAGTCTTAAACAAAATGAGTAGGCTTTGGATTAAAAAAAATAAAAACAACAGAAAGCCCAAACTATTATCCATTCTGAGTAGTACTACATGATGTGTAATGGTATGAAAATACCAAACTAAAGAGTAACTAAAAATATCAAAGGAAGTCTCCAGTCATCCAGGTATCGTAATCTTCCATCCATCTCATTAGTAGATGAATTGTCAATAAATTTTCATTTGAGCATAATTTTTTTCTAAGTTTGCCATTATGTGTGCTTTGATCAATTATTTATTAAAAATAATTGCATTGTAAATTCAAGCTTGAAAAATATTTCACATTTAGAGCCTGATGTTAGGAAAATGTTATAAGTTAAAATTTTAATTTATGTACTTAAAAATGATCTTTGAAGAATTAAGTAGTAGCAGTAATAAATATTATATTACTAGCAACAAATTTAACCTAAATTCAGTTAGTTTCTTTTTTCATTCTTTAATTGAGTAAATCATTTTTTAGTATCTCCAATGCACATTGGGATAATTGTTTTAGGAACTACAAAAATGAATCACCTTCTGCTTGCAGGCTAATAAATGAACTAACTAAAAATATTTATTTATGTAAATAAATAAATATTAAAGATATGACTGTTAAGAGCCATAACAAAAGTAGTGATATATTCTATTAATTAGACAAAACAATATTGTTATACCATGATATCTAGGTAATTAGAATTTTCTGAGCACTGAACTCACATTGAAAAACTGTGAAATCATATCATCAAGAGAGTGCAATCTATGCCTTACCAAATCTCTGAAAAGCAGGGCATTGAATTTCTTGTTTGAACCTCTCAGCACTTAGATCTCTGTATGTATCTTGTGCATGATGGAAATCCAAAATATGAGTGATGGACAGATGGGCATAGAGGCAATTACTAAAGCAAGAATATAGATAGTACAACCTCTGTTGATCTAATGAGAAGAGATTTCCCATGTTTTTACCCCCATTAAAAATTTACTAATCATATTTTGCCCTTGGACTATAGGAGATTAAACCCTTGTCTTGATTTTCCCAAGCTGCTGAGTTAAAAGAGGCCATATTCTCACAGTAGAAAAAACAATTCATTTGACCTTCAGGAACTTGTCTAAGTATGAATAAGTATGTGTAGCTTCCATTATAGTGAAATTACATTTAGAAAATTTTTTTCAAACTGCCTTATAACTTATAAAAATCATGTTTGATAGCCAACGTTAATACTTTACTCTGATAGTACACAGTTTCAGATTGCAGAACCTAATCTTTTTAAAGTGGCCCAGCAGTTTAAGCCTGTGGTTGCAATCCTGAAGATAGACTTAGTTGTGATTGGGATCCATTGTCATTCAGCCGGAAGGTTGTCATCAAAGCAGACTGACGCTGGGG